ACTGGCCTAGGGGAAAATTTTTAATGGGGGTTTTAAAGTAATTTTAAATTAATTAGACCAATTATTAATATTTGTTTTTAATTATGTTTTTAATCTGTAGTTTTGGGATTTGCATTTTTATCTGGTTGTTAGCCGCCCTGAGTCCGCAAGGAGAAGGGCGGGATATAAATATAAACAATAATAATAATAATAATAATAAAGCATGATTGATTCTTGTAAATCGTTGCTAAATCCTATCCGCGCAATTTAAAAATTCACGGAGAAAGATCCGTGCCTAGATCTGAAGAAAACCGCGTGGCAAAATCCCGTTTTATCTTGCTCGGCCATTCCGCCCTGCCTTTCTTTCCATCTTCGCCCGGCTTACTATACCCACAGAGGAGGGGATGGCAAAAAGGCGTCCAGGATCTGAAAAAGAGCTCCGCGATGCCTCCCCGTGCCCGCTAGTGCCGAAGGGCGCCATCTTTGTCCTTGGCAAAAGAGCGACGGGCTCCGTGGTCCCCAGGTCGTCTTCCTCGCTCTCTCTTCGGAGGCGGCGGACGTTCACCGTCCCCGGGCATCTTATAATACGGAAGCAGAAGGTACCGCGACACCTCTGCGGGCCGCCCCCCTCGGCGTCTTCCCGCCCATGCAAAAAGGCCGGACCCGAAACCATCGGTTCCCCCGTAAATCTAACGGGGTGGGCAAAAACTGAAGGATGAGATGATCGTGGCGAAAACCCACCCGACACGTAACCGACACGTAACCGACGACCCGGGTTCGGCATCTGTGCGTTTCTGCAGAGGAAGGCATTGCGGGGGGGGAGGGGCAACCCGCCGTCCCGTCTTTATATATATATATATATATATATATTTACACACAAACACGCAGAGAATCAAACCACGTTCTGGATTCTCACGGGCGCATGCACCCTTCTAGGTCAGGTTAGCCCAGGGGCAGTCAACCTTGGCTCTTTTATGACTCGCGGACTTCAACTCCCAGAATTCCTGAGCCAGCTAAGCTGGCTCAGGAATTCTGGGAGTTGAAGTCCGCGAGTCATAAAAGAGCCAAGGTTGACTGCCCCTGGGTTAGCCAAACGCGTGGCTCGATGAGCCGTGAGAATCCAGCAGAAAAAAAAAAAGGGCAAGCGACAACTCTGCTTCCCCTTCTTGGAGGGCAGCGCCGAGGAGAGACGTGGCAGAATTAAGACGGGGGGGGGGGGAAGGAAAGCCTCCCATCCGGGCCGAGCAGCACCCTCGGTGCAGAGTCTTTTCTCCGTACTCCTGAATCCTCCCGAAGCCAGTCCCCGCCACCGCTAGGCCGCAAGGTGACCCCGCCCTCGAGCTCCCACTGGGCTTCGCCCACCACTTACGGGCCTCGGCGGCAGCGGCAACAACACCACCCCGGAGTTGCAGCAGATCCTGGAGGGGACTCGACGCGCCCCGCGCCCCCCGCAGTAAAAAAGAGGCCGAAGAGGCGCAGCAGCGACCCGCGAACCCCAACATGGCGGCCACCGGCGAAGTGGAAGAGCAGCCCTACCGCCAACCTAGATCGGCTTCTAAAGGGCTCGCTTTATAAATTCTGGATCGAGATTGGCCAACGACTTTGCCTTTCTAAAGTCTAATTGGGTACCCTCCCGTCACTCACTTGCTTGAGGACTTGCTGATTGGAGAAGTTTTAACTCCCTCTGCGTCGCTCAGGCGTCAAAGGGCGGAACTATGGCACGTGCTGAGCTCTCCCAATGCTTAGCTTCCTGGGCGTGAGCTACTCGCTTCACTAAGGGCCTCTCGTATTGGATAGCATCGATGCGCTTCGAAGAAATCCTGCTTATTAATTGGACAAATTTTAAAAGCCACGCCTCTAAAGGAACTAATGAGTAGAAAAAAGCGGTTAGAAATGTAAGAGGCAGTGGGTTTTTTTCTAGACAGAAAGCTGAACAAATGTCCTAGGTTTGTCCTTGTGTAAAATGAAAGCTTCGGTTGTTTGGTAAGGTCATAGAAATTATGGGGTGTCCGACTGTCAGCTATGAAAACATTGCGAAACGTAGAGTGCATTAAGAATTATTCGGATTAGATTTATATTTAATTGATGATGATGATGATGATGATGATGATAATAATAATAATAATAATAATAATAATAATAATAATAATAATAATAATAATAATAAAGTTGGAAGGGATCCTGGAGATCATCTAGTCAAATCCCCTGCTCAGGCAGGAAACCCTATACCAGGGGTAGGCAACCTTGGCTCTTTTATGACTCGTGGACTTCAACTCCCAGAATTCCTAAGCCAGCCATGCTAGCTCAGGAATTCTGGGAGTTGAAGTCCACGAGTCATAAAAGAGCCGAGGTTGCCCACCCCGGCCCTATACCATTTCGGACAAATGGCTGTCCAGTCTATTTTTAAAAACTTCCAGTGTTGGAGCATTCACCGCTTCTGGAGGCAGGTTGTTCCACTGGTTAATTGTTTAACTATCAGGAAGTTTCTCCTTCTTGTGCAGAGTTAACCATATTTAAACCCATTGAACTAATGATATAAAATATGGTTCTGATTTAAGTTAAATTAGGTCATTACGTTTCCAGTATAACTACAAAGGATTGTAATGTAAGAATATTAACTCTCAATAAAATTGGGGGAACATAACTCACAGGCATGCTTCCGAGTAAATATGTGTAAACTGGATAATGAACAGCTACAGTCTCTAGGAAGAAGCAAGCTAGCTGTTTAAGATTGGGCATATATTAGATTTTAACACTTTCCCTCAAGATTATACCTACATTAGCAAGATTCCTTCAGTTTTAAAGATTTGTTGGCTCATGTTAACACTAGCAAAACACATACCTAACGT